GCTGATATTCTGTTTATATTTTTTAAAAGTTATCTTCCAGGAGACTTCTGCAGTGATTATTCAGTTTCTTCTCTCTTCTCATATGGTTTCCATTTAGGTCCAATATGTTGCAAAAAATTCTTTACTTTTTTATTTATTTATTGTTTTAGGTGTGTTTTGCTCAGAACAACAAGAAGGTCTCTCCTCTCCCCTGTAGCTATAGGACTCTTTAGTAGTATTAACCACACACATGAAATACAGCTGGGATTCGAGCAGTCCTTACACTAGGATTTCTTGAAATGGTTGAAGGGTAACCTAAGAGTAGAAGATTGGGAAGAGTGGATGTTGGAAATTAAGGAAACTGATATTTGACCAGCAGAACCATCTACAGTAGATTATTGATTCTGGGACTGCAGTTTCTCTGAAGTTACCACTGTTGCTATGTGGACATAGAAGTGGAAAAGCCTGTGCCCCTTGCCATCTATGTATGGACCTTATGAAGTTTAGATCCCAAGGCTTTAGGATCGAGAGATAAATGATCATGGGACTGTAAGGTTTCACAAGGCTTAGTGGAAAAGATAAGCTTAAGTTCAATTATGTTTTTAATATACAGTTTGGACTAATAATTTCAATTATTCCTTTTTCTCTTTGCCTAGAAAATTGCTAGATGCTATGAAGTTTACATAGTTAGATAGTTATATTTCATTAAATACTAACTAACAATATCAAAGTTGAATAGCCACAGAAGACAAGAGTACAAAATCAGTTATCAGGCAGTAGTATCAAGACAAATTTATGGTGGAACAGAAGTGCAGGTTGGGTGTTCAGTGGAGAAAAGATTTCCATGGGATGACTTCTTGAAGGCAAAGGAAATTCAGTCAGTTTTTAAGAATGAGTGGGGGGGTTAATATCCAAAATACATAAAGAACTCATACAACTCAACAACCAAAAGAACACACAATCCAATTTAAAAATGGACAGAGAACCTGAACAGACACTTCCCCCAAGAAGACATACAAATGGCCAACAGATATATGAAAAGATGCTCAACTTCACTAGCTATTAGGAAAATACAAGTCAAAATCACAATGAGATACCACCTCATACCTGTTAAAATGGCTATTATTAACAACAAGTAATAACAAGTGTTGGAGAGGTTGTTGGGAAAAAAGAACCCTCATACACTGCTGGTTGGAATGCAAATTGGTACAGTGACTCTGGAAAACAGTATGGAGTTTCCTCCAAACGTTAAGAATAGAATTACTATAAAACCTAGCAGTCTTTCTTCTATATATCTACCCCAAAACTCTGAAAACATTTATCTGTAAAGATACCGTATTTCCCCATGTATAAGACATACCCTTTTTAAAATTTTTGGGGGTCTAAAAACTGGGTGCGTCTTATACAGTAGTTGTAGTTTTTTTTTTCACTTGCATTTCCTGCTTTTTTCACACTTGTTTTTGCGCTCATACAACCACTGTATAAGATGCACCCAGTTTTTAGACCCCAAATTTTTCGAAAAAGGGTGCATCTTATACATGGGGAAATATGGTATATATAAATAGGGCCAGCTGACTGGCGCGTTGGTTAAGTGTTGGCTTGGGACACCAGCTCTGAGCAGCAGGGCCTCAGTTCGGATCCCACATTAGGCCCAGTGACACTGCGTCCTCTACAGCTAAGATGGTGAACAACAGCCCAACCTGGAGCTGGGCGGCCATGAGTTGCTGGCGATGGCGTAGGGTGCAGTGGGGCTGGCCAGCAGCTGGCGTGAGCTTTTGTGATCTGCTGTGAGCCACCGTGAGTGGCCGTCTAATGGCTGGTGAGTGACTGCCTCAGCTGGGAAGAGCACAATGATAATACCAACATGGACCAGAGAAGTGACGTCCTCCACAACTAGACTGAAGAACAAAAGGACAGTAACTTGTCTGTTCCCCTTCCCCGATTCCCCAACGCTGTTCCCCTCCCCCGAGTCCCCAATAAAATCTTAAAAAAAAAGTATATATATATTATATATATATATATTATATATATATATAATATATATATATATATATCCCTGTGTTCACTCTTTATTCACGGTGGCCAAGACTTGGAAACAACCAAAGTGTCCTTCAATAGATGATTAGATAAAGAAGATATGGTACATACATACAATGGAATATTATTCAGCCATAAGAAAAGATGAAATACTGCCATCTGTGACAACATGGATGGATCTCAAAACTATCATGCTAAGTGAAATAAGACAGCAAAAGTTGAGAACCTCGATTTCACTCATATGTGGGATATAAAACTAAAAGCAACAAATGAACAAGACAAACAAACAACCAAAAACTCATAGACAGGCAACAGATTAGTGGTTACCAGAGGGTAAGGGGGGAAAGAAGAGATAGAAGAGGGTAAAGGGGGTCAAATATATGATGACAGAAGGAGTTTTGACTTTGGGTGGTGAACACACAATGCAACATATAGATGATATATTATAGAACTATACACTTGAAACCTATATAATTCTTTTAACCAACATGACCCCAAACATTTTTTTAAAAATGAGTGGACTGGAGGGCAGAGTAAAGGCAATGATATTTTACGTGACAGCTGAGAAACACAGCTGCTTTTGGGGAAAGTGAGAAGATTCCTTTGGCTAGAACCAAGGACTTATATAAGAGAGTCAGGGATAAGGCTTCATTATTTTTTTAGTTCACATTAAAGTTCACTTTTTGTTTTGTACATTCTGTGTGTTTGGACAAGTGTATAATGACACGTACATGTATCCATCCTTACAGAACCATAGTTTCACATGGTTTTTTCACATGGCTAGATAGTTTCACAGCCCTAAAAATCCTCTGTGCTCCATAGGGAATGAATTTTAATCTAATTTTCACAAGGACCTTTTCAGAACATTATGGTGGTCTATGGTCTGAAAAAAATTTTTTCAATAATATGAACAATAATACAAAGATTATCCTGATGTTACTGAAGGAAAGGATTGATTTCAGTTATACAGCTAATTTGACTTTCGTGTGACTTTAAACCCATGCCTTATTTTCTTTCTTTTTTTTTAATATATATTTATTTCACTACAATATGTTACCTGGTAAGTTAGAAAATTTAGATTTAAGTGAAAATCACTAATAAATCTACCATCCATAGTGAGCTGACTTTTCAATAGCATCTTTCTTGTCTTCTGTTTTCTGTGCATGTATTATTTTTATTAAAAAAATCAGTGATATATATTGTTTTATATCCTGCTTTTTATTTTTAATATATTTTTAAATTTTCAATTACAGTTGACATACAATATTATATTAGTTTCAGTTACAACATAGCAATTAAACATTTATAGAACTTATGTAGTGATCTTCCTGATAAATGTAGTACCTATCTGACACAATACATGGTTATTACCATATTACTGACCATTTTTCTTATGCTATTATTTACATCCCCATGACTGTTTTGTAAGTACCAATTTGTACTTTTTAATACCTTCGTACTTTCACCCATCCCTCCAACCCCCCCCCCTTCCTTCTGGCAACCATTAAAATGTTCTCTGTATCTATGAGTTTATTTCTGTTTTGTTTGTTTGTTTTATTCTTTAGAGTCCACCTATAGGTGAAGTCATACAGTATTTGTCTTTATCTGTCTGACTTACTCCACTCAAGAGAATACCTCGAGGTCCATCCATGTTGTTGCAAATGGCAAGATTTCATTCCTTTTTATGGCTAAGTAATATTCTGTTGTATATACTTGTATGTACCACCTCTTCTTTATCCATTCACCTCTTGATGGACACCCAGATTACCTCCATATCTTGGCTATTATAAATAAAGCTGCAATGAACATATGGATGTACATGCCCCTTTGTAGTAATGTTTTTGGTTTCTTCAGATAAATACTCAGAAGTGGGATTACCATGTCCCTCTATGTATATTGTTGTAGTTCTGTTTTAAAGTCTATTTTGTCTGGTATAAGTATTGTTACCCCAGCATTTTTTTTTTCATTTCCATTTTCATGAAATGTATTTCCCCACCCCTTTACTTTCAGTTTGTGTGTGTCTTTCAATATCTGAAGTGAGTCTCTTGCAGGCAGTATATGTAAGGGTCTTGTTTTCTTATCCATTCAGCAACCCTATGTCTTTTGATTGGAGCACTTAATCCATTTACATTGAAAGTAATTGTCAATAGATTTGTAATTATTGTCATTTTATAATTCATATTTTTAGTCTTTTATTTCTTCTTCTTCTTAAAAAAGTTCCTTTAATATTTCTTGTAATACTGGTTTCATGGTGATGAACTTTAGCTTTTTCTTGTCTGGGAAGCTCTCTATCTGTCCTTTGATTCTAAATGATAGTTTTGCTGGTTAGATTAATCTTGTTGTAGGTCCTTGCTTTTCACCACTTTCAATACTTCCTGCCAATCCCTCTGGCCTGCAAAATTTCTGTTGGGAAATCAGTGGACAGGCTTATAGGAACTCCCTTATAGGTAACTAACTGCTTTTCTCTTGCTGCTTTAAGATTCTGTCTTTGTCTTTAAATTTTGGCATTTTAGTTATGATGTGTCTTGGTGTGGTCCTCTTTGGGTTCATCTTGTTTGGGACTCTCTATGCTTCCTAGGCTTGGGTGTCTATTTCCTTTGCCAAGTTTTCCATCATTATTCCTTCAAATAGGTTTTCAACACCTTGCTCTCTCTCTTCTACTTCTGGTGCCCCTCTGATGTGGATGTTGGTAAGCTTGATGTTGTCCCAAAGGCCCCTTAAACATTTTTTTGGAATCTTTTCTTTTTGTGCTGTTCTACTTGGGTGGTTTCTGCTACTTTATCATCTAAATCACTGGTTTGTTCTCTGTTTCATCTAATCTACTGCTGATTCCCTCTAATGTATTCTTTATTTCAGTTATTGTAGTCTTCATTTCTGACTTGTTCTTTTTTATGTTTTCTATGTCCATTTTTTACTCAGAGTAGTAAGCTGGTGATGTGTATTATATTGCCATTATACGTGATGCCATCTTTATGCTGTTACAGAGTTATATTAGAGGACACAGTGGACTGGCGACCCCATGACAAAATCGTCCTTAGCTCCTCTTCTTATGAGCCTCATGAAGCAGAGGTCCTCACTGTGAAAGCAGTCAAGGGCCACTATGTTAGGATTCATGAACGGCTCAAACACCGGCATATTGGTAAGGCTTTGGTTTGTTGGTTAAGAGAAGTGAATGAGTCAGGAAGCATGAGTTCTGCCTGGGGTCTGATCACCATTGAGAGGGTATGGGTAGTACCTTATTGCTGTCCTAGACTCACTCTAGAAGGTTTTACCTCTCTCCCTTCATTCATTTTATTGCCTGATTAAAAACTATTTTGATGTGAGGGAACACTTTAACTTTGTATTTATAATGGCAAGTCTAGAAGCAAATAGAAGGGTTATGACTTGTTCAAGGCCACTGGACATCTTTTTGGATAGACGAGAATAAACCTCATGAGAGCTAAGTTTCCTGTTCATTTCCTAGCACCCTGAATCACACAGTTACCTAGAATGTGGCAGTTATTGTAAATGACGTTTCTTCCCCCCATACTTAGGGATGTGTCCTTCCTGACATAAAGTTCATTTTATGTGTTGACCACTACTTTTCTAAAAACAAACAAACAAACAAACAAACAAAAACTGAACACTTTTATACACTACACATAGTTAAAATATGTTGCACAGAAATAATAAATAACCATAAGTTTCCTGGTTCAGTCTAATATAATCAATACCTGTAATACAGGAAATGTAGTTAATAAGTAATAAAACATGAAAATAGAGGCGTTAGGGAATATCTTTTTTGTCTGATATATTTTCAACAGGACTATATCTAAAGCTCTTTTAAAATAATAGTTTCAAGGATTATTTCTCTTTTAGAAAAGTCACCAAGAAAAGAGAAATCTTTAGCAATCCTTGCCCATAAGGCCCAAAGTGAAATGCAAACAGAGGGCAGTGAAACAAACCAGCACTTGGCTTTTTAGCCCCTACCACTGAGGAGGGTCCTTCAGGCAGCGATGAGCATAAGACCCATCATGGAAGGATGCTGCTACTGCTCTTTGTCCCTTTATTGTGCTGCATTGCTGCTTTAGTGCTGTCACTGCCTCAGTTGTTCTGGGATTCCTCACTCTCATGAAAGAAGTCTACTGACAATGTACAACCAAACTGTTTCTCACACTGATAAATTTAAGGAAGGAGGTTGGGGACCTCCACTAATTGAACATGTCTTCCCTGACGTCCCTGTACCAGGAGCCTGTCCCAGTACCCACAGTTATTGAGGAGAAATGAATTATTGCTCAAGCACTCTCACTCTGATCCCAAAGAGAGACAAGTAAATGGGCTTTTCACGTCTCAGCTGACATTTGTGACGAATGCCCGAGGAAAAGCGGACCTTAATGTTGGTAGGACTTCCAAAGGGAAAGGAGTATTTTCATTTGGCAGATTCATTGGGTCCCCAGCTGACGATTTCTGCAATAGGTTTTTAAAGTTTTTTCTTTCTCAAGGAAGTGTCCATTTCATGGAGGATGGCCAACATATTCATTTGGCTGCTGAGGTTGGACTTTTGACCAGAAATATACAAATCCAGCCTGATATATCATGTAGGGGGAGACTTCTTGTGGGGTCCTTCAGGAAGTCCAGCAGAGAAGAATTTTCAGGTAAGTAAAATTTTAAGTTACTAAGTGTTACTAATTGAAGCGTATTCATCTGGGACACTCAGAAATTCCAACTGTGAGAAATTTATAAAACAAAATATTCAAATGAGATGGCTCTTTTGTGCACTGAGAAGCTGTGCATTTTCAGTCCTAATCTGTGCTTAATTATCAGTGTGATGCTAAAATAATATACTAGCGATCAGCACATATGTACATTTTTACCTCAAAGAAAACATCTTCAGCAGATGTGAAATTTCCTCTGCTTTGAAATTATAGATGATTTAATGACCACTTGAATTTTATCTCTTTCCTGAATTTCTATTACTCTTTCCCAGTAGCGTGCTATATCTGATGACAGGCCTCAGCTCATGCTATAAATTAATAACGTAAATTTAAATAAAAATGATTTCCATATCCTAGACTACTTCAAGGATCAGTTCAATCTCTCTGGTTTCTTTCAAGCTTTAGCTCTTGGAATGTTGCAAAGTTATTTGATTAGTACCGTATTTCTTTCTTTCTTTTTTTATTTTTAATTTTATTGGGGGATTGGGGGAGGGGAACAGCATTGGGGAATC